AAAAAAAAAAAAAAAGCCCAACTACAGCATAGTCACAAAAAACGGTTACCGTTACGGTGAAATTAAGTTACCAAATTCCTTGAGCATTCTTTCCTGTTATCCTTGGGGATCAATCATCACAAGATAAAGAGTAAAAATAGTTTTATGTTCCAAACATCAGAGAAAACACCATGGGAATATACTCTATGCAGACCATTTCTTGAAATATCAAAATGAAGGTAATCCACAACCTTCTTTCAGTGGCAAAAATCCTCCGATCTCAAAATGTCAACTACATTCGTCAATTTTAACTTTTCACAATATTTCAGCTTTTTTTTTCCTCAGTCCTTTAGAGATACTGAGATGGGCATTATTTTGCTTTCTCACTTCAAGAAATCCTTATGACCTTTTTTAAAACCAACTGCAGAAACTTTGCGAGCTAAGAATGCGGGAGGGCGGGCGTGGGTGAGCGCCGCGGCAAGGAGCTTTGCCCCAAAGCTGTGACAGCGACTGGACCTTGAACCCTCCTCCGTCAGCTGACGGGACCGCCTCTGCATCGAAGCAGACAGAGCCGGGCACACAGGCCTCACTCCAGAAAAACATCGATGAAGAAGACCACATTTGAGAACGGCATGAAAAAAAGGTAAGAATGGGGGCAGGTAACTTGGACGCCCTGGGCCCCCACGGCCCGCACGGCCCGCACTTCCGGCTGCCCGGGCGGCACAGCCCGAGCGCAATCCCGCCCGCGGCCTGCAGCTGCGCGGACCTGCCGCCTCCACCCTGGAAGCCGCCCGCTGGGCTCCGCTCTGCGGCGGTACCTGTTGAGGAACAGAGAGGCGGCGCAGAGGCAAAGCAGTAGGAAGCAGAAAAGCGGGTACTGGCGGCAGATCTCACGTCCCATGTCCAGTCGCAACCGCTGCTTCAGCTTCTCCCCCATCGTCCGCACCCACGACACCATCTCAGTCTGCGCAGCTGAAGCGGCACCGCCCGCTGAGGCCGAGGGGGAGGCGACCCCGGTCAAACTTCCTTGTTCCCGCCCCGCCGGCCGGCGGACCCACATAGCCACCCAGCGCAGACCGTCGCAGCCAGCTGCAGTCGCCCTAGGCCCCGCCCCCGAAGTCCCCCACCCCCAGCGCGTGCGCGGCCGCTGTCCCCGCCAGGAAGGCCGCACAACGCGCCCGAGGTCACCACCCCACGCGGCGTCTCCACATCCTGCAGCTCCGCCTTCCTGCTCAGAGCCGCGCGGGACTTCCGTGGAGGACTGGACTGTACTAGGCCCAGCCTGTGCCGGAAATCGAGGGGAAGCCTAGCGCGCGGTAGCCTCCTGCCCAGCGTAAATGGTTGTTGGAACACAGCAGAAATGCAGCCGCCCGGCGCAGCTTGCGGGGCGCCAGACACTCGCGAGGTACCCTGGAACTGTAGTCGGCGACGCAAGCCCGTGGTGGGGTGGAGCCCATGGTCGGGCCCCACCACCCGCCTCGTCCAGTCACCCAGCTCCAGGTGACTGAAGCTCATAGAGCAGCGCCCAAGATAGTGGAGGCAGGGACGTTTTAGAGCCCTCAGTTTAAAAGGGGAAGCCTAGGGGCTGCGGAGTGGCGAGTGAAATAGCCCTGGAAGGCCGAGGGATTTTATTTACCCGGCCTCCACCCCTAGAAGAGAGCTTCTTAGGTGCGCCTCACAAGCAAGGTGCAGCTCAGCTCCGGGAGCGCCCCCAGGAGCCTAAGCAAAATCCATGTTTGGAGGAAGAAGCAAGTTGGCAGGCTAGGTTAAGTCCCTTATTCCACTCTTGTTTACTAATTGGTCATGTTTCTAAATTTAAACTTACATATTCTCTGCAATTCTGAGGTGCAGGAAGACATTGCTATTAATAGCTAAAATTTATTTAGGCGGCGCTAAGCACTTTTTAATACACCCCCCCCCCTTGGTGTAGGTACACCCACATTACTGAGAGAGAGATCTTGGTTTCTGAAACAAGGATTTGAAACCTTTCTAACACCAGAGCTGGCACTTTCATGCTGCCTGTCATAGCTGTTCCCTAGGTTCTTCCTCCTTCAAAATGGGGAAGACACGCTCAGAAAGGAATTTTTTTAGGAAAACAAAAAACATGATGTATGGTTCCACGGATATTTTCTCATGTTCCAAAAACAGATCATCAATGTTATTTTCCTTTTCAGAATGTACCATCCTTTATTCAGTTATCGCTAACCGCTTAAGTTCACAACGTCCTTGACCATAACTCTTTTTTTTTTTTAGACAGGGTCTCCCTCTGTTACTCAGGCTGGCCTCCAACTCTCCTCCATCCTCCGGCCTCAGCCGCCTAAGGGATGGACCATCATGCCCGGCCTCTTAATTTCTTTAGGATCAACTTAAAATAGAATTACTGGGTCAAAGGAGGAACATTAACATCGTTGATACATATTGTAAAATTTCTTTGTAGACTGGTGGTACCAATTCCGCAATGGTATTATGGGAGTGTACATTTCACTGATCCTCACCATTAGGTTTTACTTTTCACAGTAACACCACAAATATATTGTTCTATATGTGATCAGTTTTTTAAAACTCCAGTGTAACATCATTGGAGAGCCTAAACTTTAAAAAGTTGAGGTACATATGTAACACTAATTTTACTTCTGCGCTCCTTCAATTATCTAAAACTTTTTTATATGAACCTGCTAGAGCTATAGTTAGGGCTGTATTAAAATTTAAAAGATGTATGTTGTTTCATGTGCTACTATGGATTTGAGTGCTTTACACTTGTTACTTTATGAACTTGTCTGGTAAATTTTATTTTATCCTGTTTAAAACATCTGAACCCTTAAAGGCTTTTTCTGAAATTACTGTTCAACTTTTACCAAGAGCCAGTATATCGTATAAGACAAAGTATTTTCAGTTCTGTTCAAATTACATCTTTACATCATAGCCAGACTTCTTCCATTTCTTAGCAGAAATAACTAGTCTTACAGTCATCCATTTTTACACTCGGATACAGAGCTTGCAGTTTTCTTCCAACCTTGTATTAAGTTTTGAAGTACTGTGGAATATGGAATATCCACAACACATTCTGGTTCTAGAGCCACCTGCACCTCCCACTAACAGGTTATTGATCAAGCTCAACTCTACAGTGTCTCTGCCCATACAGTCTCACTTCTAAAACAGTTACCTTCCTGATAAGTTTGGGGGAAGATTAAATTGAGTGTAAAGTGCCTCATACAACACTTAGTTTAAAAAATAAACTTTATTAACAGGACAGAAAATAGCTGAACCAAGTAGCTTTTATGTGGATTATAACAATCTAAAATGAAAATGATATTGAACCCAAACTATTAAGATGCCTTACAGAAAAGTGAAGTCCTAAGAAGTTTGTGCCCTGCCCTGACGTGCTATTATAGTTCAGTACTGTAGCCGCTAGCCTCATTGTGGCTGTTGAGCACTTGAAGGTGGCTTGTCTAAACAGACACATGCTCTAAATGTAAAATACACATCACACATCAGACATGACAACCAGAAGAGAAAATATCTCAATTTTTAACAACTTGATTATATATTATTTTGCAAATGGGCTAAATAAGTTTAATGTGGCTAGAAAATTCAAAATTACTCATGTAGCTTACATTAATTTCTATTAGTGCTGTTCTAGACTCATCTGTTGAGCTAGAACAATTAAGTGTACATTTTTTGTAAATGCTACATTTATCGTATGCCAGATGTTTACAAACTATAAATTTTTTAAAAAGTAATGCATTGTCTAAAGGCCTCATAGATATCAAACTGCAACCCAGTAATATGTCCATTATTTTAATATTTATTGAATAGCAAGTGTAAGGCACTGTGCAAGATGTGGTGGAAGATACAATTAATTTAGATGTCTTTTGCTGACCTCCAAAGGCTTACAATCTAGTGGAGACAAGTCACACATAGAAATAATGTATTTAATACAGGGGAGATTTATATATAGACTGTATTCTTAAATGACAGGTAATTAAGACATAAGTGGTGGTGCATACCTGTATTCCCTTAGCACTTGGGAGGCAGGAGGATCTTGAGTTCGAGGCCAGCCTGGTCTACACAGTACATAGTAAGTTCAAGGCCAGCCTTGACTACATAATGAAATCCTGTCTCCAAAAAAAGGAGGGGAGGACAGGGGAAGTTTTCAGCCAGTGAGGATCTGGAAAGGCCTGTGGGAAGAAGTTGAGCAAAAGGACTTATCTCCACTTTCCTTAAAATTCAGAAGTCATGCAGGACTAGGCAATGTTTAAGTATCTAAAATGTTTCCACTTAGTTCAACCTTATTTTCTCCACCCCATCAGCAAACTGCACAAATTGCTTTTTATGTTGCTGTAGAAATTTGAAAGGTAAGGTTAAATACTTGAATCTGGGTATTTTGCCTACTTAACGATGGGCTGAATATATGGCTCAGTGGTAGTGTGCCTAGCATAGGGAATAGGGAGGTCCTGGATTCAATTCCCACAACAAATACGTTCTCTCTCTCCCTCTCCTATTCTAACTAGATTTTAACATTTTGAGGTCTATTACTTGTATGGCCTGAGGCACACATTTGCTTGAAGAAAAGGAAAAATACATACATACACTACCCCTGGGAGCAATCTCAGTCCCTTCCTCTGGCAGCACTCCTCATAATTTGTGGAGCATGGAAATACATTTTCAAAGCCCTCATTTTATCCTGTTTCATAAAATCAAGGTCCACATTTTACCATTCGTGGCATTCATGTTATTTTTATAGCCTCCCTGCAAGCCAGGCCTATATATCTGAATATATAGTGCCTGTAAAAGAGGCTGTTCCTACCTCAAGAAAAGTGCCTGTCCTTCATTTAAAAAAAAGGAACTCATTATAATGAACAATACCTAATTCACAGAAAAGGAACACTTTAGTTTTTATAGATGTCTGAGATGTTTAAAATGCAGTTGATATATTAGTTTCATGTTTAACTCTTACTTCTGTGGCCATGAGGTAAAAGCTCCAGTAGGAAAACACAAAGAACTAAACTTTATAAAATCTGTGGCTCAAGTGCAGATTTTCCCTGAGTAAAATCTATTTTATCACTATGAAATTGAGTACTCTGAGCACCAAAAATTTAAGCATTTCACATTTGTCAACTTATTCCTAAGTTATGATAGATCAGCCTTTCAAATCTTTTATGGAAGCAGGCAGTTATTGTTCTTCAGAAAATGTAAATTATTAGTTATGGCTTGGTAACTGAAAATGTGCTCATACCACCTGATTTACACTGGAACAGTAAGAGATAGCGAATGCTTTTTATCCACTAAGTTACTGCTTAAGACTCTGATTCTTATGTTAGACATGGCCTCTTTTCACAAAAAGAATAGTATTTATCATTTCAGATATACTCACTTCAGTAACGTCTGAAAATATTTTAGAAAAGCTCTGCAATTCTTCCTCTTTCCTCTATTTCCAAAAATACAAAAATTAAAACACTTTGATGTGACACAAACCATGCAACTGGGCTTTGTTCAGAATTGTGAACATCACTCATGCTAGCATTTCAATTCTAATTCTAGTAGTAAGGTTGCCATCATATAATTAAAATCAGTTTTACCTTCATTAAAAAGCTGATTTTGATTTGAAAAGCTGATTCCAGCTATAAGAAAATAAAATTCAATACAGTATTTCCCAGTAGAAATTTTGAGTACAATAATTTTGGAAATTTTTATTGAAAAACTTCCCCTACATATTCAAAAACAATTACCATTTAAATTTGGTTTAACTCACATGAAGGATTCTAAAGTAGTCAATTTTCTGCATTACCAAAAAACCGTAAGGCCTATATTCTATTTTATGAAAGTTAAAGGTGTCCCTAAGTATTCAATTAAGAACTCCACTATCTCCAGATGATCAGAGAGCAGTTTTATCATTCTTTTTAAAAACAAAAAACCTTATAAAAGACTAACTTTATTTCTTGAGCTTAAAAATAAAGTGCCCCTAACAATGCAAATTTCCCTATGTAACCAGGACCTTTCAAATTCTGAGTTTCTGGGCAGGGATACAGCTCAATGGTAAAGCCACTGCCCAGCATGTACAGCACCCTGGGTTTGATCCCCAGCACAGCACAACTCAAAACAAAACCTGTTTTCAACTGTTGCTAATACACATAA